AACGCACTACAAGCAGCCGCATTCGGGGGGGACGAATCGGTTGTGCAGCTTCTCCTCGAGCGTGGGGCAGAGGTGAATGCTCAGGGTGGCCGTCACGGCAATGCACTACAAGCAGCCGCCTATGGGGGGAAAAAATCGGTTGTACACCTTCTCCTCGAGCGCGGGGCAGAGATGAATGCTCAGGGTGGCGAGTATGGCAACGCACTACGAGCCGCTGAAGCAGCACATGATGAATCGATTGTGCAGCTTCTCCTCACACATGGGGCAGATCCCAATCTACAAGTATGATTTCGACAGCATGATCCGCGCAGTGCAACCAGCTGGGAGAGCTTTAATTTTCCAACCACCTTCAACTACTTGATCCCATCCCTAGTGCAGCACCTCATTTTGAAGTTGCGCATTTCATATCCCACATCCATTGGCTCTTTCTTATTCCTTGCCAGGATTCCACATGATTACCGCAAAAACTGTTGAAGTGATGAGTGATAGTGTGTCGTGGTTGGTTATGGGAGGAATGGAAAGTGGAAGGATAAGGTTGTTTGCGGGAGTGGCAGGAGTGTTTTTCAGGATTTAGCAGTAGGATAGATTTGTTTGAAGGATAGAAGCGGATTTCACAGATATGTCTTTCCTTTGTTATTACGGATGTGAACAGAGGAGTCTGGACATGGAGGGAATGTGAGAGATGGGTGTAGTGGTTTATGGAGAGGCTAGGTTGCTTTGATGATGTTTTCCTTATACACCTGTCATTACCTATGAGCGAAGGAGAGAGAGACGAAGAACACACTTTTCCCATTGATCCCACCACAAATATTCTCTTTACTATTCCGTTCTATTAGCACTGCGCATTTTGATAGCAACCACTATCACAACAAAAACAAAATCCAACCTCCACCAACATGCGTATAATGGTATTCCCGGCTGGCTTCCAGCCTGCGCCCGTACTCCATTAGCCACCGAGCCAACAACCGCTCATTACGTCAATTGTACCTATCCTTCTACTACCAACCACTCTCGATCATTTCCACGACTTTCTCCGAAATTTCAAATTATCTCATGGTGAGTCCACACCAATATACAAATCCGGACCCACAACTCTCCTTCCGCGTTTAGCCTCTCAAATGCCTCTATCCCTCATTTTCGTTAATCCTACACCCAGTCCAACACCCCCCCAGCACAACCTCCTTCGTTCCACATTTCACAAGCCGTCGGCGCCCGTTGACTGTCCTAATTCAACCCGCCGCACTGATGAACATTTTCTAATACTATCTCCTTATTATCATTATCTGCTTAAGAAACTAAAATTACAATTATCTTGAACTTTATATTGTAGGGTCTGGGGATACATCCGTACTTACCATCAGCAGCGGAATTTTTCCGGCGACCCTCATAGTAGGAGCGATTAGGAGAGTTTTGTTCTGGAGATGGTGAGAAGAGATGAAAAGGAGTTTGGAAGGGGAGGGGAGTGTCAAATTGGGCTACCAATTTATTTATTTGCTAGTTCGGTTTGGTTTAGGTGACACTGAAATTGTGCTTTGGAGTTCGGCTTCCATTTTTCCATTTTTCCTACATTTATTTCTCTCCTCTCTTTCCTTTTTCCACGCGTAACAAAGCCATGGCTATAAGTTCGCAAGGGGGGGGGCTCTTTATGCTGGGGAAAATGTATTATTAGCTCTTAAAAGATGGATTATTTGTGATCCTATTTTCTCTGCTCTTCCTCTCCTTTTTTTGTTTCCAGATGTGTCGCCCTACTGACACCTGGTTAATCCGCTAGTCGTTGGAGCTGTTCCTAGGGGTGTAGCAGTGCAGAAACTTCCATCGCAGTTCCACGCTCTCTTCACGCCAAACCCGACAATGCATATGAATCAATCTACAGAAAGCATTACGATTGGTTAACCAGGGTTGAAAATGGGTGGGCCCAACCGGACCCAATGGGAACAAAGCTTTAGCCCGGCGAGACTCAGCCCCTAGGACCATAGCCTAGGTTAGCTAGGGGTCCATCGGGTCTCCATGCGAAACAAACTGACGAGATATCAGGGTTTTTGAAGTGAGTTGGATGGAGGATATCCCCTTATTGTCCCTTAGATACGACTGCGAGGATTAACACTCAATCGGCAACTCAGGAATGAGTGGAGGAGGTTTGACCTCATTCTTATCCTGTATAAATTCCACCTGTACCCCCCGCCAACCCCCGTTCTAGTGGCTGGCGGTCGTTTGGTGGACCTTAGGATCGAATATGGTGCCTATTTCATGTGTCTTGGTTTTGGCGATTGCGCCTCATTAATGGAGAAACCTCGTGTTGGGCGTGTTGCCGGACATTTGGCGCAGAGCACTTTAGGGCTCTTTTGTGGGCATCATATACGACACCTACCCGAAATCTTGATGTGTACTTTCTATAGGCTATCCGAATTTTCGCTGAATAAAATGAAATCCCCAATACTTGGAGCTTAATTTCTGGTAGCTCATAGTAGTTCGCTGTGTAAAATTAAAAGCTTTTGCCCTGCAAAACTTATCCCTAATTTACATGTTTATTAAAGGGGTTGGCAGGGTTATGCCCTGGGATACACCTCCGGTGGTAATGGGGTGGGTGATAATCATGACATATCACTCGATGCCATTCTCTGGTAGAATAGTAGAGCCGGCGATGTTGCATTGACACCGGCTGACGCACAGCTTCCTTTTTTAACCTTTCCGTTCCAGTGAAAGCGCCTGCGGGTAGGGGCGAGGGATATTCTGAGCCCTCCTGTGCTCGGCGCTTTTCGCTGGACACTGCGACCTACCCGGACCCCATACCGCTGCTCCGGGCCGCTGTCACTACTTACAACTACTAACCCCCCTGTACTTTGCACCACAATGGAACCTATCGCAAGCAGGAAATACGCACGATATCTCAAGCTAGAGAGATCTTTTATCGGGTGGGTTCGCCTACTTTCTAATAGCCCTAGGGTTTACTCGTATGGACTGGGGTCTTGGCTCGGCCGGGCCTGATTGGGCTGGGTCGGCTGGGGAATCTCTTTTCCTGAGCTAGTTCCGGCGCGCAAGAGCCAACCCGGGCTACCTAATATGCCCAGAAAACTCCTAGAGCTATACCGATGACCCAAGCCACCATCCTTAGTGTCATAGACGGCTTGCACGTAGCAATAGTGGCAGTCACTGACCTAGGGCTATCCTTTTAAACATGGGGATAAATTGGGGAATGACGTTCCTAGGGGGCTAATAAAGCCTATGGGTAAATAATCCTGGTGGATCTGTGTGGGGGAGGGTAAGTTGCACTGCGGTATATGGAGCAGACTAGACTGGGGCTTGACCGGTATAGGTGAATAGCGGAAAAGGTGTGGTTAGGACCTCTGCTCACTCGCCCGATACCCCCTCTAGGTTAATGGTAATGGCAGGCATATAAGTAAATCTTATTGGACACCCCCTAATCCTTTCCCTCAATTCACTTAATCACCACGCGCCTCTCGGCTCCGTGCATTCCCCCGTTCCTCCACATAGACCCTTGATGATACGGGGTGAAACTTCTCCTCAAATCTTTAAGACTCCAGAACAAAAAAAAGCCGCCTCAAAATTCCCGAAATCTCTACGATCGCCAACAACTCATTGCCCTTTTCCAGCATCCTCCACATCTCCAACAAATCAGCTGCCTATCCAAAGAGGGGAGTGCCACGCGACAGGTGAGCGAGCGTGTTGAGTTCAATTCCTACTTATCACTCCTGTTTAGTCAGACGAATCAACCCACTGCAAAGAAATAGAGCAATACACAAAACTCTTATCCATCCTGAACGGCCAACCTTCCCCCCCCAGTTGGTGAAAAAACTTTCCTTGACTGTCCATCCTGCCTTCTTTATATACATCGGTTCACAAGGAGACAATTGTTTGATTTAGCCTCTAGTTCTGTAAGCCCAAACGTCATCTCCAACCGGCTCTGCCATTTTTCCACTCCCCCGAGCTTGCTTTCGATCTATATATTACCACCTGAGAGGTAATCTTCATGGTGGAGCTACTTACTAACCCCGTGTTTCAAAAGCCGATCATTCTTTGTAATGTAGCCCTGTCTGGGGTTGTGGCGGGTTCGGGAAAGTCGACCCCTAGTTACCCAACTAACACGACAAACTCCTCCCACTCAATTTTGTCCTTGGAATGGAGGCCTCTCGCAGGATCACTGCTATGATACCACTACAGGAACTATAGCCCAAGCCCATGGAACTGGAAACCCTTATTTGCGGGGGATAGGGAGGTGCCCTAAAATTGCCATCAAAAGATTTTATGACCCCCTGAAATTTTGCGGTGCTATCACCCACTCCCGATCACTCAAAAGCCGAATATCGGCTCTGAAACTATCCAATATGTCAACTCCGGCTCTGGTTTTCCGCTGGTACATGTAGTGTTCCATGAAGTGCATCATCCATCCTACGAACCTTGGCCTCCCTCCTGGTGGTTCAGCTCATGAATGTGACAGTGAGGATACCCTAAACTGGATTGCACAGAGGTGCACAGATTGAACCAGAAACCTTCGTTACCACCAAATACACATCCAGATGAAAACCGGAGAATCGGAAAAACGCTGTTCCCACTGTTAAGTGTATGCGGCCATCGGAGCCTCCTAAGGGAAAATGGGTAGGTGGTTTCCGGTAAGCCTTTAATTGAATCCTACGATGGCGAGACACGGCCGTATGTATGACCTCCATGAAAGCACTATGGGTCCTACCCACCAAAATTCCGGCAACTCGCTTATCACATGCCCATTCACCTCTAGGGGATGACTATGAAGTTCAAAACATGTGAAGTAGGCATTGCAGTCAATTCAAAGGTGTATGAAAGCAGTGGTGGCAGCCCAAACCAGGAGGTTATGGGAGAGCGCTATTGATGGGGTATATATAAGCTAAGAATGAGATTGAATTTCCTCCACTCCATCCCGAGTTATCTATCAAGTCCTTGATCCTCATTGAAGTAATTTTATCTAGAGCCTAAATCATAGGGCACCCCCTATCTATTACACTTTAATACTTCCCACCTCCCCCAGTCTCTTCTGTATGCCAACCCCACCAATTTTTTGAGTTAATACGCACGAGTCGAGAGTCGCTGAGCTCGGTTGAGTCGGGTCGGCAAATCCCCAATTCAGACCAACTCATCGGAATGATTGCAAAGAACGGAAAGCGCGTAGGGTTGCGGGAGTACGCGGGGTGTTTCATGCTGGGAGGTTGTCAAGTAAGCACAATTCTTCCTAGTCCAGTGTCTCACGGTGGCTGATTGGCAGTAGGTAATAGGTCGGTGATAGGAGTCCG